AAAAGTACTTTAAACTGTATAAATAATGTAAAATTAAATTGATTTAAACTGCCAATCATACGAATGTCTGCCTATGACTCAAACACCTAAATTCATAGGTCGGAGCTCGATTTTTAATTAGTGGAAAATAGTTTAGCTGATCAAATGAGTTCATTATCGCTATGAAAAGAAAGATGGTCTTTTTTTATCATAGCTGTGCTGATTGGCTAAAAATTTAATTTCTTCATTTTGCAACATGAATCTTTAGCAAAAATTGTCGCTTAAATTAATTGTAGACTTGTACACGATCTCGATCATTAGCCAATCACATAGAAAGAGATGCAACAACACAATCAATTATGTAAGATCAATATTGATATCGATAGCAAAGGGCGTTAGTAATCTATACGCCTCACGTGATTTTTAATTTACAAATTTGTTATGACCTCCAAAAGTGGAAGCGTTTTTTTATTCTCCTTGACATGCATTTACCAATTTTCACCCACACTTTCTATAGGTTGAAATTATTAACATCCGTTGTTTTTTTTAAATGAGTCATTTTTAATTAGATTAGCGTTAAGTCTAATAGATGAAATTATACCAAAATTTTGCAAGGAATTACGCCAACTGGCGTCCATTCAGAAAAGGGTTCAAAAAAAATAATAATAAAATTTTCAAGGATTAGTACGCGGTGATTTTTCACCTGATCTTGTCCCCGTGATTGATGCTGATTGGTTAAAATCACATAACGAAAAATACATGATCAGTGATAAAGTAGATCAAATTTTTACATATTATGTGATAAGTAATTCATGTGATTTATGTTATATTTTACGGTAAGCCCGATCTGATGAAAACTTAAAATTTTTACATAAAGGTTTTTATGTGACCTCACCCAAATAATGAATAGAAGTATAATGCGTAAGAGGTATGATGTCAAACGAATTGCATTGATATTATGTATACGAATTTTGACTTAAAATGTTAAGTGAAATTTGAGGCGTAATTCTAAATCCGGCAATTTTAAATAATTTACGTAATGTGACAATACTAATTCCTTTCATGGATAAGTAGTCGAGAGTTCTAGTGTCAAAAATATTACAATAAATACCAGATGCCTGCAAGACTAAAAAATTCAACGATTTCTTTTTGATACAAAGATGACAGCTACTCGAGGAAATAAAAGTAACGCTTGGTCTTCTCGATTGGTGCAGTTGGCAAGAAAGCCAGGTTATGGCTGGCCGGTTTCGTATCTCTATCTGATTATGTACAAAATTTCTTTCTTGTTTCTTTACTATTAATTTACAAATTTTTTTTTTCTTCTATTTGACTTTAGGATATTTTTTATTGGAAATATTCTGTATCTATTTTTAAATATTACATACATATTTACGAACTTTACATTTATAACATTTTATTTATTTATTTGTTTATTTACCTTTTTTTTTTTTTTTATAGGTATTTAGTACAATTATTCCAGTAGTTGCTAGTTCTACAATATTCACAGCTATCATATGTTACTTTTACATAGTTTGTGGCATTAATTTGACTCTTCCAGATAATTTGAGCAAGTATTATTTATTACTTGAAACTTTCAATTTTAATAAATAAATAACATTTTCCTTTTTTTTTTTAGTTGGAACTGTTTCTGTTGTGGTCGGTCTTCTCCTCGCTTTTCGCACAAACCATGCATATGATCGATATTATGAGGGTCGAAAATTGTTTGGTAGTATGTGGTATGTATCATTTACAAAAATAATATAATAGGATTTGAATGTCTAACGTGACCAATGCAATTATCGTTATAATGTATAAATTTTTATTAATTTTTTATAGTAATCATGTTCGAAACGCCACCAGAGCAATCTGGGTTGGTGTAAAAGAAAAATCAAACCGTGATCATGAAGAAAAGGAGGACTGCATTAAACTTTTGCTAGCATTCGTTGTTGCTACTAAACACCATCTTCGTTTAGAATTCGGGACAAAGTGGTCTGATTTGGAGGAATTACTACCAAACGGTCTACAGCTTACCAAGTTTGATGGTCATGCCGTTCAAAACGTTAATTACGATACGTTTAATCTTGCTAATAATGATCCAGAAACAATTTCGGCACCAAAAGAAGGAAAAAAAGAAGAAAAGAAAGAAGAAAAACAAAATGAAACTACTAATATACTCAGGAATCGTCGTGGCTTACCTTCTGTGCACAGCGCACTTCGTTCGCTCACAAACCGGGATCGAGCTGCCATGTATTTCGATGGTAATCCAGAAAGTAACGATGTCGATGCAAGCATGAGTCTTCCATTGGTAATTTCTCCTTCCATTTTTTTTTTTTTCAAATTTATTCTGAGAATTCTGATTTTTTTTTTTTCCTTTGAATTTCAGGAAATTATATTCCATCTAGGAATATATCTCGATCGAATGTTGCATGAAAATAAAATTGATAGTAATGATCTTTCCCCCATCGCCGGGATTTTGAATTCGCTAATTGAAATTCTTGGTAGCCTTGAGAGAATTGGAAACACTCCAATTCCTCTTTCTTATAAAATTCATTTGTAAGTAGAGTCTAAAAGATCTATGGTAACAAAGATATGTATAGACATTTAACAATAAAGTTTTCTTTAGAAAACAAGCCGTGACGTTGTATGTCTGGGTTCTTCCATTTACGCTTGTTGATAATCTCGGTTGGATTACTATTCCCGCCATGGCAGTAATTTCTTTTATTCTTTTTGGTGTTGAAGCGATTGGTAAGAAGCCTGAAATAATTTTTAAAACTTTTTATTATTTGTTTTATGTTTAAGTAATAACTTTGAACACTTTCAAATCGCAAATACTTCTAGGTTCTGAAATTGAGAATCCATTTGGTGAGAAATTAGCATTACATCTATCAGTTTCGTAATCTCATATTCATTTATATTATTATATACTTTTATCAATGGTTTAGGTTATGACAACAATGACTTACCATTGGACGATTACTGCAAGGTCTGTCTATATATCGAAATTTTAATAAATATTATATCTTGTCTTGCAATATTGAAAGGTTTCTATTTATAGGATTTGGAAGCTGAAGTCAAATATTTGTATCGTCATATGCCTGCAATCGCTTCAAAATAACTTGGCAAATTTTTGTTGATTGAAAATTAGTTGGTTTGAAAATTACTTGTTTTGGTGATAAGATATCTTATATATATATATGTATATCTTAGTTGGAATGATAAGATATCAAAAAAAAAAATTTTTTTTTTAAACAAATTTTGAAATAATTTTGTATTCATAGCAATCAATATAAACGCATAATAAAGAAATTTGTATCATACATGTAAAATGGTTATTAATTGATGCATTCACCTCAAATTCTTTATATTCTTTTGTATAATTTGTATAATTTGTAAGTATTTGAGTGCCATCAAGGGAAAACCTGTCACTGGGATTTTAATATCGGGTATATCAAATAGATTAAGTGCTGTAAGCAATAAGTTAAATTACGTTTATGTTTTGTTTTTTCAAGAAACTTAAATTACGTCTATCGCATCCTGCATCACATCTAATATTATGTCAAAAATTTAGTTGCAACAAATGTCGGCTATTACGACATACACTGTTACAACACTTTTGACGTACTCATACATCACCAAATTCCTCTGCCTTTATTTGCATGCCTTTAAGGCTGTTGATGGGATGAATTAGGGTTGGTCGGTCGATCAAATTTCAAACCCAATCCGTTAAATTAGGCTTACTCTAGGTCAGGTTGCATTAAATTTATAGCCAAATCTTTTCCAACATGGGTTAGACTTAACCGGTAGCGACTTTGGTGTATGATTCTCCATAACACAGTGTTCTCAAAATGATTATAAATGATCTTGCGTCATTTGGTCATTTTTGACTTCTAATTAGCGTTAGCATTTTATAAATTTACAAGTTTTGGACTGATAAAAATTTTTCAAACCTTAAAGCACAATAATTAATAATCATTGACAAAAAAATGTTATTGACGGAGCATGAACCAAATTTGCATATTTCAAGTGACTAATTTTTTCTAATGACTAATAAATGGCTAGGTCACTGGATCATTTGAGTCATTAAGTCATTTGAAAACACTATTCATAACCATTATAACTCTAATATAGAGAGACCAGTGTTGGACGATTATGTCATATAAATCACATAACTTATATGATTTGTCATATTACAATATCATATGATGTGTCATATATTAATATATGACATAATCTATATCATAGCATATGATTCATATGATTCTACATCATATGAAAATATCAAGACATCATGGTATTGTCATCGTCCAACACTGAGAAAGACTGTCTCTACAATGTGTCGCAATTTATTTTTATACTATAAAGATTTAGTAATTAGGAAATTTTTTATTTAAAGAATTAATAATTAATACATTAATAAGCGTGATAATTACTATACTTACCGTACCTAACTTTTAATGTGACATTCGTGAAAAAAATTAATAGCATTAGATCTTATATTATATATATATATGCATAAATATACAAATATTAATAAAGTTGGGAATTATACGGTACAATATAATATGGGGTCTTTGCCTTGAAAATGACCTTACGGTACATGATATCATAAGGTCATTTTCAAGGCAAAGACCCCATATTATTAAGTCATATAATTTCAACTCCAATTGTGTATTATTTCATTTCAGAACAATTATATTGATTTTCGCGTTGTCAAATTTTCTATGAGGAAATTTTTGTTTTATATCCTAAGCTTTTTGGCTTCGAAGAATCTATGTTTATAATCTGAATTTGAATTGATTTCTATAATGTTCAAACATGATAGTTCTGATGTCTGTTCTGATTTCTTAAAACTACTCCAATATGACAACTTCATACCTAGATTAGGGATGGGCAATGTAATAATTTAATCAATATGATTTTTTTTAACCTTTGCCTATTCATACATATCATTATTAACTATATGCACTATTTATTATGATTGATTATAATTCACATAAGGCATGCTTTTTTTTTTTTTTTACTTATTATGATATTATTACTTAATATCCTAACCTCTCACATGATAAAATATGTAATTAGCTCATATGTAATTAAACCTTGATATAAAATAATATTAAATTATTATTTTTCTTTCTTTTAAATATTATTATACAAAAAAAAAAAAGATCAAATAAAATAAAATTAAATGAAATATTCTTTTCAATTTATATAGATTTATTTGATACTTGTAAAAAATTTGAAAACCATCAAAAGAAAGATACCAATCATATAAAAAAAGCCACAACTCAAAAATATTCCAAAAAAGTATATAAACCAATTGCCAAATATCAACAAAAAAATATTTTGGCACCACTTATTAACTATTTGGATATTATCATTTATTTAATATTATATATTTATCAAAATATATATTTTAGAGTTCTCTGTCACTATATGACTTATATTATATGTTTTTACAAAGTCTATATTAGAAAAAATGTTATATGGAGCCACATGACTAATACCCAATAAGATTTTTAAAATTTGAATACAATCTCAAAACACATATAAAAAAATTTTCACTTATTCTATCTACTTATCCCACCCACCTACTTGGGCACTTTGCACAAATACAGAACCTTTATGGGTCCTGATTAGAGTTTTAAAACTCTAAGTGTTATGAAAATTTGATTTTTAAATCTGGGTTCTTGTGAATTTTAAAGGCCTGATCAGAGTTTTAAAACTTTGACTAAGTGTTGTGAAAATTTGATTTTGGAATTTGGATTCTCCTTCAACTAAATAGTATTAAATTATTAAAAAAATAAGCATAATGAATAAGCTATTATGTGACAAATAATATAAAATTTGTTATTAGTAAATATCATACCTATGTGATTTGGTAACAAATATATGTAACAAATAAGTACTATATTTACTAATAAAATATGCTTATTTGTTATATAAAAATTCATTACATTTCAAAATCTAAATTGAATTAGAACCTTAAAAAAGTTTAAACCTATAAAAACTGCTTAATTACACAATATATTTATTGTATAAATTAGGTTTAAAAAAAATTAAAATTAAAGTTTTAAATTAAAAATAGAGTTAAAGCTTTAAATTTGTGTTAGAGTTAGAATTTGGAGTTAGAATTAAGGTTAAAGTTAGGTTTTGTGTTTGGAATTAGAATTAGAGTTAGAGTTTTGGGTTTTGGAGTTTAGATTAGAGTTAAAAAAATTAAAAAATTAAAAAAATTAAAAAATTAAAAAAAATTAAAAAATTAAAAAAACTGAAAAATTAAAAAAAATTAAAAAAAATTAAAAAAAATTAAAAAAATTAAAAAATTAAAAAAATTTAAAAAATTAAAAAATAATTAAAAAATTAAAAAAAAATTAAAATTTAAAAAAATAAATTTATTAAAATTAAAATTAATTAAATTAAAAATAGAGTTAGGGTTAAGGTTTTGTATTTTAGATTAAAGTTAGAGTTAAAGTTTCAAGTTTTGGGATTTAAATTAGAGTTAAAAAAATAAAAATTAAAAAAAAATTAAAAAAATTAAAAATTAAAAAAAATAAATTTAGAGTTTTATTTTGTATTTAAAATTTACAATTAAAGATTTTTAAATTTAAATTTAAATTAGAATTAAAAAAAATTATTAAAGAATTTTGCTATTTATTACTACTGATAATCATTACTGGTATTGCTATATCTCAAAAATATACTAAGTAAACAGGATTGGATATTTTAAATAAAAATGTTTAGTGAAGTGGTCTAGTTATCACCTCACCAAGTGGTAGGTCTAGAGTTTGAATCCCATAGATGAAGTTTTTTGAAAAATAAATCTGCATTAGATAACAATTATCCATCAATCGGTTGGATCTACAATCTGTAATCTTGGTTGTACCATCTTGTTATGAAAGCTTCAGCACAGAAACTGAGATGATCAAATCTTGTTTGAGAAGACCTGAGTAAGGAGGTAGTGATACTTCCAACAGTACTACAGGAAGGCTAAATTTAGAAGTAATGACCAAGATTGGAGAACCAAACAACAACAAGATCTTTAAGTAGAGAGATCTACTAATCTGACCACCAATTAGAGAGAAGAGAAGCACACCAACCTAGTTAGCTAGCATAAAAAACTGGGTAGCTATTCACCATGACTAGGATTTGGAAGTTAGGTTCTACCTAATGACAAGAGCTAGGTGATCTCTGGAGACTAGCCAGACCCAATTGGAAGAAAAGAACATATGCTATAAAATCATATACTATGATGAGATGGAGCATAAGACATCTAGAGCCTAGCCAGAGTCAAATCTTCCAGGTCACAGGTTGGGAGTAAGGAAGGAACCAATAAGGTAATTATAGAAAAAGGAAAACCCAAATGTGAGTACTAGGGTTGAAGTAAACTTTACAAGGATATAGCAGTTCAATTGAGTTACACCAAACTGTGAGTGGAAGCCTCAGCAATTGCGATAACTAGGTTAGCTGAATACGAGATACGGAAGGCTTTGGTAGGTTTACCTCAAAGATAGCTATGCATCCACTCAATAGAGAAATGCAAGCTAGTAATTAGTTGGTGTAAATCTAGGAAAAGTCATAGAAGTCCTAAGGCAGCATATGCAATCTAGTAGAATGGGCTAGATGGTAGTTTTTGTATTAGTATGATATGCTAAAAACAGTTGGGATCAGAAGGTTTAAATAGGTAACTCCCTAGTTGGGTTATAAGTACAGTATTTAGTGTAGAACCTGCAGGTGAACTACTTAAATAGGTACTTAAAAAGTGTACATGTGGCTAGTTGTATCTTCATTATAACTGTAATAGTAAATAATTACTAATAAAAAGTTCTTATAGCCAAAGAGGTTACCTTAATACCAAAAAAAATAATAATAAATTAATAAATATAGAGTTAAAATTAAACCCAGATAAGTGTTTTCTCATTAGGTCCAAATTGTAGTTTTTGGTTTATGTTGTTGGTAGGAAGGGTATCTGTTCTAACAAAAGTAAAGTTAAGAAGGTTTAAAATTTTTTGCACTACAGTTTCTTCAAAGTTGTATAGATTTTTGGAGTTAGTATTATACTATCAAAAATTTATATTTAAGTTTTTTATAATTACATACTCCCTACATTTCTTATTG